TCTTACAGTCTCGCCTCCTCCTCCTCACTTGTCCTTTGTGAATGCCTCTAGCTTTGCTTACAATTGTGAACCTGCTCTATGACTGCTTGCTCTGCTGATTACACCCCACTTTGGCTATGGGGGTGTGTCAGAATGTTGTATTTGTCTAGCCTGCAGTGGGGTACTCTATAGCGAGTACAGCCCAATTTAGGGTTTCCTATATGTACTCAACTGCTTGCTAGTGCAACCCCTCTTTCTTGTTCTAAACTTCTGCTTGCCTTTCTGACACTTGTGCGTTCATGGGGCAAAGCGGTTATTAAGGAAAGTTGAGAATACAGAATGATAATACAACAATGGCAAGAATGACTACATGCGTGACTAGCAACCTAGCAGGGCAGCTGGTCGACTGCCAGCACAGCATGGTCGACCGTCTGCCAGCGTCGCATAGAGGAGCCACGCTAGCGCTGCAGAAACGCGGCTTGCCAACAAAACAGGTCGACGGCGTGCCAACGCTGCAGCAGGGCGGCTGTCCAGCATTGCACTCGTAGAAGACAGTAGTGCGCATGCTCGCAGGTGCGCGCACTTGATTGGCCCAACGTGCACTTCCATGTGCCCACCAGCTGTTGTCTGTGCCTAATCAGCCACATCGGCTTCGGGATACCAGCCCGTAGTCGCCTTCGCCATCGCGACCTCGACGACGTTCGCGTGCCTCCGCAGAACGGGTCGACCATCCAGCGCGCACCCTGGTCGACGACGTCCCTCGGTGACCCACGCGCCCGTCGAAGACCCCTCCTGGTTGACGGCCCGTCCGTCGACCAGCTCGGTCAGCTGCAGCCGTCGAACTCCCCTTGTCGACAGTTCCAGCCGCAGGTGTCCTGCGCAGGTCGGCGACCACCTCGTCGACCTGACCCGTCGAGGTAGACCGTCGGCTCCCGGTCGACGGCATCGCCGCAGCGGTCTCCTGCAGCTCGACGAAACCCGTCGAGTTGCTCGCCCACTGCGTACGGTCGGCTGCTTCTCCCGTTAACGTCAGCTCAGCGTAGGCGTCGATGGAGACTAGCGTGTTCGGGGCCCGCCCAGTCTGCTCCTCGTCGATGAAGCGCCTGCGCAACTTGTCGATGTACGACTGCTGATGTAACCACAGCTTTCTTGACGGTCTATTGCGCACGATCTCCAGCCCAATGTACCTCTTGACCAGGCTGATCTCATGCAGCTCAAAGGCGGCCTCCAACAGCTCCTTTAGCTCCTTCAGCATCGCGTTGCTGCTGCTGGCAGCGAGCAGATCGTCAACGTAGACGAGCACCCAGTACGTCACTCCGTCGTCACCGACCTTGAAGGACAGCGCGTCATCAACCCGAATCCTCTTCCAGTTGGTGCTAGTCAGCACGTCGTCGAGCGCCTTGTACCACAACAGCGAAGACTGCTTCAGCCCGTACAGGCTCTTCAACACCTTGCACACCCGGTCGGTCCCGTCATCGTAGTAGTCCGGCTGGTACATATACAACATCCTATCGAGCTTGCTTTGCAGGAAAATGTTCTTCATGTCGAGCAGGATCAGGTTCAGGTCTAGCACAGCGACAAAGCTGAGGAAGATCCTCAGCGTGATATAGCTGCTGGCCGGCGCGTACATCTCGTCGTAGTCGACGCCATATACCTGCGTGAAGCCTTTCACGATCAAGCGCACCTTCTGGCGGGCACCTAGCCGTCGATGTGGTACTTCGTCATCAGCACCTAGCGGTGCTTCATGATGTTTACACCGCGTGGGCGTTCGACCAGCTCCCACGTGCCCATGCCGATGAGGCTACGGATCTCCGTCCATGGCATCCTTTACCATCTTACTTTTCCGGCTTGCCAACGCCTCCTTCACCGTCATCTGCGCGATGTCCCAACGGTGATCGGTATCGGCGTGCACGTCGGGGTCGAGCTCCGGTGGGTCAACGTCGTCCTCAACATCGTCAAGCAGTGTGGTGGCACACAGGCGTGGTAGCTCAGCCACTCCGGTGGCTTTCGAGTTCGACCTGATCGTCGCAGCTCCGGCTTCTCGACCGGAACATCCACCACAACTTTTGCGGTGAACTCCTCCCCTACCGACACCTCCCCTTCATCGTCAACATCTTCGTCGTCGACGAGCTGCTTCACCAGCGTTGACCCTGCGACCGGCTTCTCCACTCTCGTCGGCCCGCTTGCCGACTTCTCTTTGATCTACAGCTCCCCTGTCGACTTCCCCATCAACTGCTCCCCTGTCGGCGGCATTTCTGCTGTCGCGTTCTGCACCTACTCCCTTGTCTGTTGCTCCCCTGTCGTCGACGGCTGCAAATTCTCGTCAACAAGCTATGCCGGATGTCAACCGCACGCGATGCCACTGGCCGGCGCCATAGGCGACGCCACAAGGCTCCACTTATCATCGGTGGTCGACACTTGCAAATCGGTGACAAGGGGCAGAGCAACAGGAACAGGAGGAGGAGGAGAGGGTAGGACTTCCCCGACGTCCGCATCAGCAGGCTCGTCGACCTTGGCGAGAAGCAAGAACGCCGACGTCGAGGTGTCTGTCGGTGGGTGGACCTCCGTCCGTCCCGACGCAGGCCCGTATTTCGCATTTCACACCACCAGCGACAGGGTATCGTAAAAGATGACCTCGACCGACGTGACCACCTTGTTGTTGGTCAAGTCGAGCACCTCCCAGCCCTTGCTCTCCGGCGACACCCCCAGGTGAAGTCCCCAACGAGCCTTTGGCCCCAGCCCCACACCCGGGCCAGCGTGAGATCGGGCTTCTTGTCGGTTAGCAGCTGATACGGTGCCATCCCCGACGTCGTCGTCAACCGCTCCAAGCAGTTGCGCACCCAGACAGTCTGTCATAGAGCAAGGTGCCACCAGTGATGCTGCACGCCCATGTGCAGCAGCATCGTCCACACGGACTCGACGACCGTCCGCATCTCCCGCTCAGCCATCCTGTTTTGCTGCGGATTGTACGGGCAGGTCAGGTCGTGGACGATGTCTTTCTTGTTGACGAAGTCGATGAATTCCTTCCCCAGAAACTCGTCGCCGCTGTCAGAGCGAAGCATAAGCACCGACTTCTTCGTCTGGCACTCTACAAGCAGCAGCCACTTCTCGATCACCCGCCGAACGTCGCTATTCTTAGCGACCGACGTCACCCACACGAACCGAGTGTGGCGGTCCTTCAGCAGGAGGAAGTACAAGCTGCCATCCGGAATGGCCCGCACAAGTCAATATGCACAACAGCAAGTGCCTCCTCGGCGTCCGAGCCCTTGTCGGGGAAGGTGTCTTCCCGCCGACGCACGAGACACACGGCAAGTCAGCCCCGATCGACGGTGTGAGGTCGAGGCCAGTGGTGACGTCGTGCTTCGCCGGGCTCTTGATCGTATCGACGCCAAAGTGCGCGAGCCTCGCGTGCCACCGGTCGGGAGTACCTCCTTCGTCCCCATCAGGCGGTGCGAGCAACCGCTATCCAGCACCACCGTCATCGCATTCGCTTGCACGGCGGCCGCAACCGCCTTGAAGACCTCCCCGACTTCTAGCACAAGCGAGACTCGCTACTCCACCACGCCGACCATCGAGCACGACACCTCCCCGTCGCTTTGGCCCTTGCCACTGGAGTTTTCGACGTCCTTCGTCGACGACATTTTCTTCGACGTCTACTTCTCCTTGTCAACCGCCTCCAATCATGCCTGCTCTACCCCTCCTTCCCATCCCCCTTGTTCCTCCTAGGTGCAACCACCGTCCATCCAGCCCGCCTTTCTCATCGGCCTGGCGCTCGCTTTCTTCTGCCTGCCCGGCGAGGGTGACAGCCCGAAGAAAAAACTCAAGCAGGCAACGATCAAGGCTGGCTCAGATGCTGCCAAGGCGGAAAAGAGAACAAACAGAGGGGACTTGGTTGATTTGGGAGGATTGATCCAAGGTGTTTGATCCGAAGGGAAAGAAGCAGAAACCTGGGCGAAGTCATTGTTCACAATTGTTGACTGTTTGTTGAAAATTGTAAAAATAACAGAGTTTTTTGTGTTAATTTGATATTGTTGTCATAAATCATACTAGGGTTGGATCAATGCTTGAGTGTTCACTGGAGGAAAAACAGCTTTGCAGCAGAAATAAGAAATAGTCCCTGGGAGAGACGAGAACCTGCCATACAATCTGCTTCTCTTGAGGGAGGAGCTGCCTACTCTGGGAGAACCTGCTTGCGAAACCCTGGTAGAAATTGCACAACAGCAATGGCAGTTACTAGTTGGACAGAATACCCGCGAGCAGGCCCTACGATATCAGGAATTTTCCCCTGAAATTCCTGATTTTCAGCCTAGTTTTTTGTACCTACACTGATTTTTCAGTGTTGAGATTTTTGTGACACTGATTTTTTCAGCCTTTACTTCATAGCTAACACTGATTTTTCAGACTTTTATCAAAGTGTACACTGAATGCACATTCCGACTCCTTCCCGTAAAACACCCGAGAGATTCAGTCAACCAACATTTGTATTTTATATTGTCTAAAGAACAGACACTGACTGTTGACAGGTTTAACTGTCTTAGTGATTAGCGAAACTGATACCGAATGGTTAGTTCCACGGTACGAATCCCTCAGCTGTCATGTTTCGTAAAGGCTACTCTCTTGTACAAATACATAATGTGATAGGATATTCAGGCATTTGTTTTTAGAAACCCTGAAAATTCAGGCTATTTTTTTTTGGAACCCTGAAAATTCAGGCTTTTTTTCACAGGGACCCTGATGCATCAACGTCCCTAAAAGTGAATCTGAGGGCCTGCCCGCGAGGCACAGCATTCATTTATTTCCAGCTTCACATGAAACGGGATGGGACATGGTACATGCAAAACAAAGATTGCAGGTGTACCGATAAGACAACCTCAGCAGCTCTGAAACATCTTGGTTTCAGGTGGGCAAGCACCCAACCCACCCATGTTCCTCCTTTCTGCAATTCCTCCCCAACCTTCCATTTCCCCATTCCATCCCACCACTCCTCCACCTCCATTCCCCCATCTCTTCCCCTCCATCAATCATCCATCCCTCCATGCCTCCATCTCTCCTCCCAACCGTCCATTCCACTGTCTCTCCCCATCCATCACTCCATCCATCCCACCACCACTCCATCCCTTCCCTTCTATCCATGATCCGTCCTTGCAACCGTTCACCCCCTCTCCGCTCTGCTTCAGTCCTTTGAGGCACCTCAAAAGTCCATCCATCCCACCACCACTCCATCCCTTCCCTTCCATCCATGATCCGTCCCTGCAACCGTTCACCCCCTCTCCGCTCTGCTTCAGTCCTTTGAGGCACCTCAAAAGTCCATCCATCCCACCACCACTCCATCCCTTTCCTGCCATCCATCCATCCATCCACCCCTGCAACCACATCCACCCCCTCTCCACTCTGCTTCAGCCTCACTGGAAGCACGTTTTCGGCGTGCACGGCAGCTCGGGAACATCCCCGTTTCTAGGCCCTGCATTAACGCGTATAAAGTGCGCGAGCTCCCGGTCCGCAGTGTGCATCGGCAGCCGATACGGCGGGTCAAAAATCGAGAAATCCGCGTTAAACTCTGTAAAAGTCGCTCCATTCACCAGCAAATCCTCAAACGACCGGACCACAGGAGTCGTATCAAACCCCTCGGTCCATAGGGCGCGTTCGCCAAACCACGGGGTGAGTTCTTTTCGCGCGTCCCCGGCGATGAAAATGTTGCGATCCGAGCGAATTGCAGCGTACATACGGCCGCCAAGGCAGTAGTAAGACCATTTGGAATATAAGCTGTTGGCCACGTGGACCCTGCCCCACCGCGCCTTGGGCTGTCGCTGCCCCGACTTGTCAAACCAGTTGCGGTAGAGCGTCACCCGCATGTCCACGTCGTACACCCCGTCGTCCTCCGCTCCTAACAGCATGGTGAGGTTGCTGTGTGGGTGGGAAGGTGGGGGGGGGAGGAGGCAGGGGATAGGGGGAGGGGGGTGTAGAGGGCTACTCGCATGTCCACGTCGTATACCCCGTCGTCCTCTGTGCCTAGCAGCATGGTTAGGTTGCTGTGTGGATGGGCGGGGCCACATGAGGGGAAGGTGGGGCAGGGCATTATACATTACACGCGTCACTCGCATGTCCACGTCGTACACCCCGTCGTCCTCCGCGCCCAGCAGCATGGTGAGGTTGCTGGTGGCGGAGGGGAGGCAGGGGATAGGAGGGAGGGGAGAGTAGAGCGTCACTCGCATGTCCACGTCGTACACCCCGTCGTCCTCTGCGCCCAGCAGCATGGTGAGGTTGCTGTGTGGGTGGGAAGGTGGGGGAAGGGAAGCAAGGGAATGGCGTGGAGGAGGGAGGGGATAAGAGGGTAGAGCGTCACCCGCATGTCCCCGTCGTATACCCCATCGTCCTACTCTCCCAACAGCATGGTGAGTTTGCTGCTTGGACGGGTATATGTGAGGAACATCGGGTATATATACACACAACACACGTATGTGCGCATAAGGGGCCTTTTATCAGTTGCGGATGGTGATGGTGATATCCATAGAACTGTAAACGGCATCCACTGTACCACTTACAGCCTTGTACGCCTGCCAGTGGTCCACCCACACGCGCGTCGTGCCCTCTAAAGCTGACATAATATATCCTCTTGGCTAATCTATGTATATATACACTTACCAGTTGCTAATATACACTTAGATACACTTACCGGTTGCTGATATACGAATTGCTGATGGTGATATCCGTAGAGCCGTAAACAGCGTCCACTGTACCGCGCAAGGCCTTGTACACCTGGCAGTGGTCTATCCACACGCGCGTCGTGCCCGCAATGTGCACCACATCGTGATCGCCGCGCTGGTCGCCGACTGCACGTGTTGAGGCGGGGGAGGGAGTTGTGTATAGGGGGATGGGGGCACTTCAGGAGGACGGTGAGGGGAAGTAGGGGAGGGGGATTCTTGGGCTCACTCATTTCAATGTGCGCCACGTCGTGGTCGCCGCGCTGGTCGCCGCGCTGGTCGCCGACTGCGCGGATGGGAGTGTCGGGGGGAGGAGAGAGAGGGGGTGGAGAGAGAGGGGGTGGAGAGAGAGGGGGTGGAGAGAGAGGGGGTGGAGAGAGAGGGGGTGGAGAGAGAGGGGGTGGAGAGAGAGGGGGTGGAGAGAGAGGGGATGGAGAGAGAGGGGGTGGAGAGAGAGGGGGCCCCGGGAGAAGTGGCAAAGCGTGTTTCGGGTTCAGCTTATTGCGATGCGCACCAAGTCGTGGTCGCTGACTGCACGAGTGGTAGGCTGGGGGGAATGGGGAAGGGAGGGGAGGAGGGTGTGGGCGAAAGGGGAATTTATGGTCCACTCATCGCGTCGCTGGAAAAGGGGGGGATTCTGTGGTCGACGCGGAGGGGCATAGAGGCCCGCGCGTAGGGTCTTATGGCGAACTACAGCAATTGGGACACCGTGCATCCAGTCTCCACCTTCCCTCCCACTGCAACTCGACGAACCAAGAACCACTAAGAACCACCACGCGATTATAAACGAAAGCGCTACATGTAATTCTCTCCTCTTCCAACGGCCGCGCCACCCCATCACCATCCACCGTGCACATAGCCCCGCCAAACACCGTTCTTCCCTACGTCCTCCTTAACCCCCTCCCCAACTTCCCCCCCCTTCCAACCTATTCCCGTTACGCTCACTCGCGACGTTGTGTATGATCACATTCGTGATGTTCTGCAGAACCATGCCTCCGCGTATAATCACATTCGCGCCGCGACCGTCGATCGTCACGTGCGACTGCAGAAACAGCCGCTTCTGCAACCTAATGAACATCGAGCTATTAAAACGTATAATCACACCCTCGGGATAATTACTTAACCCCCATCTTAGCGTGCCTTGCGGAACGTCCTCTGCCCTATCCACGTCACTGGTAACCACATAAATCGGCTTCCCCAGCCCGCCAGTTACGCCGGCAAGTGCGGCGTAACCCATGGCGCATCTGTACAGATTCTCTCCCGCGCCGCGCGAACGGTACGGACAGTCCACGTTCCTCTCCCCCGCTTTAATCACATCTTGATACGGCGTCACGGGAAACCTATCCCCCGTTACTGGGAGCACCCACGAGTCTTGCCCCACTGAACCACCTTCCACCGTGCCTGGGTTCGTCTTTCCTCCCACATCTTCCTCCCGGTCGCCCTTTCTCCGCTTCCCCTTCCGCCGCGGCAGCCTCACGGGGAAGTTCCGCACAGTGAAGAGCTCCGCGGGAGGAAATTCCGCGCCTTCCCCGCTGGTGCCGTCCCCCGGGTCTATCAGCCAAGTACCCCCTCCTCCTCCCCCTTCTTTCCCCCCTGCGTCATCCGCTTGCCCCCGCTTCTTTTCTCCTGCGCCACCGATCTCGCCATTGCTTGCGCTTTCGCCTGGCGTTTTCCAAATGCTGTCGGGGGCGGAACCGAAGAAGCGATCGAGGCGGAACAAGGGAGGGGGACGCAACGGCTCCTGCTCCTGCTCCTCTTGCTGTTGCAGTTGCTGCTGCTGTTGCTTTTCTAAGCGAGTTTTCTGGTGAGATACGGTCGCCGCTGGCGACGCGTTTGCGACAAACGGACGAGCGCCACTGCCAGGCGGAGTAAGCGTAGCGAGTGACATTATAACGAGGTTCCAGGTCCAGAGGAGCAATAGTCGATATAAAAAAAAACACGCAAAACAGGAAGATTTACTACACCATCTACACCCCATGTCCATCCTCTGCCGCACCTTATCCCAAAGAGACCTCATCTTCATCCCCAGTAAGGTCATTTTCCAGCACTTCCATGGACACTTCTGTCCGGTTAAGAAGATACAAACGACCACTGATAAGGCCACCATCAGGACCACGTAAGGGCTGCACTCGGTTGATGATGCGTTGAACGATGCGCGCCTAGCGAGCGATGGCATCAGGATCACCAGAGCACTCCAGCCTGGTCTTTGTAGACGTCGGATGTCGAAGCCTGTAGCGAACCTGAAAGCATAAGGGGGGTAATCAAATTAGAGATTCTCTCACAAAAAAATAAACAATACACATCACATGAAGCACTTACAGCAGCAAGACGGATGCACAGCTGTTCACCCTGCAGGCCAATCATTGAGCTGTTACACTTAGCGCCAGCCCAGACTTTTGCCACAGCAACAAATGCTGGACTGGAAAATGGAACACCATCTAACGCATGCCAATCTATTCCTTCAAACCCTGCAAAATGGTTCACTGTTTATAGTCAATCCACACTACCAAAACGGTGTTACACGGGCATAAGAAAAGAAAACAACAACTTACTAGTAGAGTTCATTGATACCCAGTTGAATCAGATCAGTGCAAATGAGAAAGAATGGTTTCCGTCAACCTTTCCCTTGAGGACCAAGAGAGGCTCATTGGTCAAAGCAGCACTGCGAACATCGGATAGTTTTTTTCCCAGCCTGTTGTTGAACGTGTCTTGAAGGTTCTCCAAGTGACCACATTCCAGGGCTTCTCGTTTCAACGACAAGCCGGACTCATGGTCGGGATTTAACCATGCGCAAGCTGTTTCAAGATCATGATAAACTATATGTAACTTTTAGATTACGCACTAAAGCAGAAAACTCTAAGAAAACAACACTCTTACCGCAAAGGACGTTCCCCCAAGTGTCGTCATTGGGCACGAAATTGATGAACCCTGGCTTCGTTAGAAAAGCGCCGATTGCTTGCTTTTTCAATTTCTGGTTGGGAAAAAAAGGGGGACGATAGGGACACCATAAAATAAAGTCGGATTTAAACGGATGCATTGTCAACTAACTAGTGTGACTTACCAATGAATACAATCAATCCTTCAACGTACTGGCCAATTCCTAGCAGGCCTAGTTACTTCTGCAAGCTTTTGCGTGAGCATTCCGATCGTGACTAACGCCTGAGCAGCAACCGCACTCTGCTGCTGAAGCACTTCTTTAGCATCCTTCACTGCTTCCTCAGATTGACGAGCCTTCAGTAGAAGCTCGTCTGAGACCTTCACGACTTTTGTTGTGTCAGAATAGTGGCATAAGTAGGTAGGTAGTTAGGGTTAAGTGGGCCTAGGCTTAGTAGCCTAGGCCAAGGGGGTCGAGCTAGTTTGTGCCAAGGAGGGAGAGTCGAGAGATGAGAGGAGAATGAATGTTCACTATAGCACTAGGGTACATATAGCAAACAAAGAGGTGCACCACCTATAAAGTTAATATCTACACTACAACTAGAACTACATGCAGGTATAAGAATATAATTCTGACATCCCCCCGTAACTGCATGCAGGAATAGCTAAGTGCAGAACACAACCTGCAGGGGTACACCACAGACGGAGAAAACAGCAACAGCAGGCAAGGCAACAGAGCAGGTACAGCAGCAAAGGGGCAGGCACTCCTGCCACCCCTTTACTCTCCTCCCCCCCCCCCCCCCCCCACCACTTCAGGAGGGGCGGCTGGTTGGTCTCACACCCGCCATCCCAGTGCCAATCCCCTGGCTCCCCCACACCCTCACACCCTCCCCCCCAGCGGCAGCTGCAGCAGTGGGAACAAAAGGAGGAGGAGGGGAAGGGAAACACACCACCCATCACCCCCACACCCGCCACCCCCATACCCTCCCCCCCACGGCTGCAGGGAGACGAAGGAGGAGGGGGGGGGGGGGGGGGGGGGGGGGGATAAAGCCGCAGAGCGGCTACAGAGGGTCGGCGCGGGTAGGGCAGGGGCGGCTGCAGCGAGTGCAGGCGCGGGGTGAGGTAGAGGCGCCGTCGCGGGCGCCAGGGGCGGGTCCGCAGCGGCTCAGGGCACCGTCGCGGGCGCCAGGGGCGGGTCCGCGGCGGCTCAGGGCACCGTCGCGGGCGCCAGGGGCGGGTTCGCGGCGGCTCAGGGCACCGTCGCGGGCGCCAGGGGCGGGTCCGCGGCGGCTCAGGGCACCGTCGCGGGCGCCAGGGGCGGGTCCGCGGCGGGTCAGGGCACCGTCGCGAGCGCCAGGGGCGGGTCCGCGGCGGCTCAGGGCACCGTCGCGGGCGCCAGGGGCGGGTCCGCGGCGGCTCAGGGCACCGTCGCGGGCGCCAGGGGCGGGTCCGCGGCGGCTCAGGGCACCGTTGCGGGCGCCAGGGGCGGGTCCGCGGCGGCTCAGGGCACCGTCGAGGGCGCCAGGGGCGGGTCCGCGACGGGCAGAAAAAAACGTCACGCGCCACCCGGGCGCGGGACAGAACGAAAATCGCCACGCGCCCGAGGCGCGCGACCGGAAAAACAGCAGCGGAAGCGTGAGGCTGGCCCACAGGCCAGGACTTAACAGTCTCTAATACCATGTCAGAATAGTGGCATAAGTAGGTAGGTAGTTAGGGTTAAGTGGGCCTAGGCTTAGTAGCCTAGGCCAAGGGGGTCGAGCTAGTTTGTGCCAAGGAGGGAGAGTCGAGAGATGAGAGGAGAATGAATGTTCACTATAGCACTAGGGTACATATAGCAAACAAAGAGGGGCACCACCTATAAAGTTAATATCTACACTACAGCTACAACTACATGCAGGTATAAGAATATAATTCTGACATGTTGGGCGTTCCAAAAGTCCTGGAACCGTGCTGTTATCCTTTCCCGTAATTAGATTGAGAAGACGAGCTCCGGTTTGAGAATAGCCTGAAATACAAGAAAATGCAAAGTCAGTACACATTATGTCAACTACATGTTCAAACAACCCTTCTTTCAGTGGCTTACCAACTGGAACCAGTACATTGGCTGTTACGTTTTCAGAGCCAGCTTGAGTGTTTGAAGTGGAAGGGCCGTTTCCGCCATTGTTGCCCGTGGTAGGTGCGTCCGATGGAAGCGCATTTGTGACTTGTGAATGAGGAACTTGCTGTGCTGCTGTAAACATACACAGTTCACCATACATGAACCTACAAAAAAAATGGAGCTCATAAAAGCAAGCACACAGTAACATTGAAAAAAAAGATTTACTTACATTGTGTTGCTTTAGGATCATTGTTGGCGTCAGTAGCAATGCATTCATTGGCGCCAGAACGCTTCTTGATGACGGTGAAACCAGCCAAAGGAGGAGACTCGCCCTGCACCACTTCCTGAGGCTCACCATTGGGAGAAACACCTGCTAACATGGCACAAAAATGTCATGACATATTGAAGAATCGTGCATTCAGTTGAATTGGCGTACACCCTGTTGAGGGGAATGATTACACCCCTGCCTCGCCCCAAGTTTGACTGACGGGCCACAGCAAACGCAGCAGGCACATTGTTGTAATTGTTGTGAATGATGAAATGCTAGAGAGTTTGAAGGTTGAGTTGAAAAAGTACTGAAGTTGAAATTGACTTGGTAATACCCACATGGCTTTACAGGGTTGAGGTACACACATACTTGGTGAGTGTGAAGTGAGAGGAGTTCTAGTTCATCCTCTACCAATGAAAGAATAACCACAATTGGTTGCTAGGAGTGCAATCAGATCGGAGTAGGTGGTGCTGTAACGAAAGCCAGATCATGTGTGTGAGGATAGACGTGATAGGCTTTCGTAGCTGATGATGCAAAGTAAGTATGACATGGCTTTTGCTTTGAGACTCACCAATAAGGAACCATGTAAGTCAAATTTTCAAACTCCAGAAGCAGAGATAGAGGAGGATGAAAGAGCCTGGAGGAACAAAGGTGTGAGAGCAAGGATATGGTGATTGGCATAACGCACAAAGGAATGGTCCCCCGTTTTTCCCGCGTCTGCATTTCTGCCTTGATTTGTTGACAGTTTGAATTGGGCAGTGACATCAAGCCCTTGTGTGCAAAGTAGAAAATACCTCTGTGAAAACTTGTGTATATTATTGTTTGCAGGACCCTACATAATTCTGTGGCACTTAGCATCACCTCGACACGATTGGGGTGTTTTTAGGGCGCGTGTCTTTTGCTGCAGAGGTTCAAAAATTTGGTTGAACTTTTGCTGGTAACCCTATTCGCAAATCTCGGTAGTCGTTTTGCTTGGGTAGCGTGTGTCCTAGTACAACATTGTAGATGAAATAGTACACAACCTGGGTTGAACTTTCGGCTCAAACCATGCGTGCACAAAAATTCACTCGTGTGTCCTTTTGACAATACACGAGGTAGCTACGAATTCAGGGACAGTCGCAACACAATTCGTGCGCACGAACGACTTTGGAAAAAGGTCTTCCGGCATCGCCAAACGCGTGGAAACCAGGGTAACTTACGTAGGTTGACCGCGACTCGGGAAAGTTCAACTTCAATAGTTGAACTTTCGAGTGTCCTGTGATACTTGTGAGTTGAGGAGCAGCGACTCAGGTTACAGCTGCCGATATTGTCGAGCCTAGGTCAACCTAGGTTCAACTGCGTACAGTTTTGCATAGATTTTACAAAAGACACGTGCCCTAAGTTATTGAAATCTCTGGTTTTTTCACGTGAAATGAAAAAGCATCAAGGGATTGTCATTCCCGACTGTGTCTGGTCTCCCGCAGTTTCGAACAGGGTATGGGAGGTGAGTTGACACCAATCCGATGCGCATATTGTACTGTAAACTGCAACTCGCGCCCAGCATGTTTTAGCTACAGTGCGCTGGGCTTTTGTGCTTGTGTGTGTTTTGGGGGGTGGGGGGGGGGGGGGGGGTGGAAGGGGGTGGGGCGCGACAGAGCACAGCTGAGCTGTGTCGCGAATAGAAATGGTGCAGCGCTGAGCTATCGAAATTGCAACAGAGCAGAGCTGCACTGTCGCAAGTTGAAATGGGGCACAGCTGGGCTGTATCGCAAGTTGCGACAGACCACAGCTGAGCTGTGTCGCAACTTGCGACACGTCACATTTGAGCCGTGCACCAAGGCCACCCTTCGAGCGCGTACATTCTCTCACCCTCGCCTTGAAGCCAGCCTTGGCGAGGCTAAACACTCACCTTGCCTGAGTGCCACCGCTCGACGAGGTGGATGAGCTGTCAAACACTCCTGCGCTGTACATTGACAACGCGGGAAAAACTAACATGTTGGCACGTTCGACAAATTCATCCACATGCGTTCTGACTACCTTCTTTGTTTTTTTTCTGTTTCTAGTCCTTCAAAAACGGTTACAGGCTTGGCGGTTTTCACACGGAAAATCTTGATGTCTGGCCAAAACCGTCGGAGGTAAAAGCGATACACCACATACCAAGTTACGGACGCCTTCAGATATCGAGGAAACAATGTTTATTGTGTAATGTTTGTTATAATTGTATACAGAGACATCATTCCAGCTTTACTCCAATCAATGTAAGCAAAAAAGTGCATAAACATTCTATTGAGTTGCGATTAGAATATATGCATAGCACAACTTTCTTGAGTGGAGCAATTTATTACAACATCATCATCTAACGCCTGAAAACGTTCAATATAAAAACAGCATTAGCCTCGTTGACGTTCGGCGTCAAAGGCACGACATGCACCACCCGAAGGAATGACTTGACGGGAATAATCTTGTATGCATTGTCCCCACCCAGCCATGTCATCCACATGCGTTCTGACTGCCTTCTTTGTTTTTTTTTTCTGTTTCTAGTCCTTAAAAAACGGTTAGAGGCTTGGCGGTTTTCACACGGAAAATCTTGATGTCTGGCCAAAACCGTCGGAGGTAAAAGCGATACACCACATACCAAGTTACGGACGCCTTCAGATATCGAGGAAACAATGTATATTGTGTAATGTTTGTTATAATTGTATACAGAGACATCATTCCAGCTTTATTCCAATCAATGTAAGCAAAAAAGTGCCTAAACATTCTATTGAGTTGCGATTATAATATATGCAGAGCACAACTTTCTTGAGTGGAGCAATTTAGTACAACATCATCATCTAACGCCTGAAAACGTTCAATATAAAAAAAGCATTAGCCTCGTTGACGTTCGGCGTCAAAGGCACGACATGCACCACCCGAAGGAATGAATTGACGGGAATAATATTGTATGCATTGTCCCCACCCAGCCATGTCATCCTGTCCAATAAAGATTCACCTATTGGCCCGAGTATTTCATAAAATCGAACAAACGCCACGTGTTCGCTCTCTCTTGCATTGTTGCTCGTAGACTCCCTTCCCTCATCCGGGACTTTGTGAAGGGTAAACATCAAGAGCACCTTGCAAACCTGCAGCACCTTCTGCCCCCTCGCGTCTTTCAGCTCAACAGCGACATCCGAATACCATGGTTTACTGTGAAAACGTGGTGTTGCGCGGGCATATTGTGCGTGTCGATTATAGAGCTCGTAATTCTCACCGGGTGGGATTGCGACACCTCGATGAACATCAATTCGAGCCTCGCATGTCTCACCCGGCTGGAGGTATGCAAGGACGGCGTCCTTCAAGCGGTGCATGTCGCCTGGAATGGTATCGCTATAAGCTCGCCACAAATCTGTGTTGTCCGCAATCAATGTCAATACGCCATTCTTTCTGGTGACAGTAGGGTCACCAGTCTCCAATGCCTGTTATGGCGGTACATTAAAGATTGGGGGAAAAAAATATGGAACTCCATGAAACTGCGCGTGCAATGGTGCGCATTCACACACACATAAACATACACACACACACACACATACACACACACACACGCGCGCACGCGCGCGCACGCACACACACACACACACACACATATATATAGACATACACACACACACACACATACACACACACACACATATACACACACACACACACATACATAGACACACACACACACTCACACACACACACACACTCACACACGCATACTGCTAAGCACGCCCGATCGCACGGACGACCTCGTGCATGCACATGTACATACATTAACGCGTACAGATGGCCGTACCCGTACACGCACATACACACACCTGCATGCATACACATAGAGGTCCGCGAGCTTGGGACGTTCGCGCGCGCGCACACTTGCACACACACATATTCACAGACAAATGTAGACACACACAAATAAACACACACATCCACGCGCGCGTACACACACACGCACACACCCAGGGATAGACACACGCACATACACACACACACACACACACACGCACGTACACATAATTACGCGCACATACACACACAAACGCACTTCAACACTATCACATCGTAATACAATGATAAGAAACATATGCGGAAAGGTTTAGAACATTGTTTCCGCACGTATGCGTTAAAAGATCGACTGTAAGAACAAATACCTGTCTCATTTCTCCGTTCCTTGTATCAGCGTCTTCCGCGTCTGTCTCTTGATGCGCTAGTCTGCTGACCAACTCGTCGACAAGTGTTCGTCGCGCGATCTGCTCCTCCGCGTGTTTCTTGTTGCTCGCACAATACGGCCGCTTCATTAGCGCGATGTGGAGATGCTTGTACGTATCCGCACAGTAATGAGCAAGGAGTCCTCCGCGACGGATGTCGTCAACGACGTGCCGCATCGTATGGACCTTTGGAATGTTGAACGTCGACGACTGTTTCTTCCCAAACACTGTTATCATCTTGGGTACAAGTCTGTACCACATCCGTATGAGAGAGATAGAGAGTGTGTGTATGACAGAGAGAGAGAGAGAGACAGGGGAAGAGAGAGAGAGAGAGAGAGAGAGAGAGAGAGAGAGAGAGAGTAAATCAGTGTACGTGCCAGGCATAAATTGTTACAAACGCTACAATGTGGTTCAAAACTGTCAAATGCCAAATGATACAATATGTTCTCACGTTTTTGTTAGTTCGTCAAGGTGTGCAAGGCTCTCTTTTGTATGGTATGGTCGTAGCCACACCTCGCAGTGCCAGTAGACGTATAGCGTGACTGTTCGTGTAATGTCCGTCTTGACATCAAGCAGCTCTAGAATCACAGGCAACACTTGCATAACTGCAGCGTGTTCAAAGGCTTGGAATGTCCCTTTGTTCGCGAAGTATTGTTTCGCGTATGAGGGAAGGTAGAACATAGATTGGCGACTAGAGTCCGTGATCCCACGCAGAGCATCATCCAGCCGATCGAGCAGTCTAGGTACCTTCGAGCGCAGGCAATCGATGATATGCTTGAACACTCCAAGGAGTGATAGATGCATGATGTCTCCCATGAATGCGCGATAAGGATTTCCCCACGACGTATTCCCATTGGGGAACCCCCATATCGCCACCTGCAAATATGAGCAGTTGAGCGCTCATGCGAGATGATTAGTAAGATTGTAGGAAACCAGAACGTAGCAATCGAAGGCAAAGAACAAGTCGGGACATGAATAGTGTTTCCAAATATGGAAGGACAATGGTGCATACATTGATGGCGTGTGTACTCTCCGTCGTCTCTGCGGATGCAAGCGCACGGTTCGAGCTTCGATGCACCTACATAATCGATTTGGTGAGGACTTGTCCTTGCTCTGTACGATAACAGTGTTCGGCTTCCACGTCTGACATGTTCACCTTTGTTACTTGACATCTCGGGCACGGAAACTGGGTTTGATGACCCGCCTTTGTCCCAGCGATCTTGTATTGCTTTGGATAGTCCCCCACATAGGCATACAGAAGGGGTCGAACAAAACGTAGGAGACCGTATGGATCCATCAGAAAAGCACCCGTCTCCTCCTTCTCCTTCTGCTCTGCCAGTACGATTTCAAGCCTGCGCCGTGTGGCGTCCACTCCTGGTTGCACTTGGTGCTTTTGCAACGGAGGTAATATGGCCGTCATCCGCCTGCCATTGGGCTTCCACCTGTTTTTAGAAGACGTGTTCCCTAGGGCGACATATACAGGATGTCCCGAAGCTCTGCCATCCTTAGCAAGCTCAGTTTCGTCTGAGTACAGTATGACAGCCACTATAGACGCCCCTGGAAGATCTTCAACTGCTTCTCTCCAGAACGTGCCAGTTGATGGATCTGTATATCGATGCGGTGCCTCATCCGATGCGGTCTCCTCCGAAGCATCTGCGTCAGGTGCAATTATGAATTCGTCAGCATTGGCAGGATCGGTGTACATGTCAACCACGCGAGCTTACGTTGCACGCCACCATAGAATAACCTCTCTCTTGTCCTTGCTTGGGTCCGTGATGACAAGCCTTTGAAATGGTTGTAGCACCGCCCGTTGCGTAAGGGATGCCTCAAGCTTGTCAACATCTGCGACGGTCTTTAGCGTAAGTTGCGCTCCTTGATCGACTCTCTTGAGAGGCTGCTACCACCGTTTCCTGTTTTACAAAAAAAAAAAAAAAAAAAACGACGATCTATGGCTGTGTATTGTTCTGCTTCACTGCTTGCTCGTTCAAGGTGGGGCTCTTCGACAGACGGCATTGGCGCAGGTGGTGCTGCGTCCTGTGACGACGTACTAGGGCTTGGTGCTGTAGGCTCTGGATTGTTGCGTGTGGTGGTAGTAGCATACTCATGCCTAAAACTGCGAACATGATTAGTCAGTTCAGCTTGTGATGCGAATGTAACAATGCAGTCAGGCTCGGGACATGTTATTTTAAGCCGGTTTCTACCGTCCATTGCTAGATGAGCTAGTTGATCCCGAAATTCCGCAGCATATGTTGAATAAAGTACCAAAGCTTTACAATTGACCTTCAAAGCACATATACAAGCACTGCTACATCAAACCAACAGCTGATGGATGCACCTGTCATGCTGCTATAGTCAAACATGAGGGCTAGGCTGGAGTAATTGGCTGGAAAAGTGTCACGAGAGGGGCGGGCCAAGAGGCAGGTGCAAGGGCAGGGTGTGTTGAGGAATGTTTGCGGGCAGGGAGGGATGAGGAGGGTGTGAAGGGTAGTATTGGACGCGCTGGTATGGACTGGGGGAGATGTGATGAATGGGGTGAGTTGTCGCAAAGTGGGAAATGCAAGAATGCGGAGGAGGTGGGAATGGGTGGGGGAAGATGGGATGAATGGGGGGGGGAGGAGGGCGGAATGGGGAGGTGGGATGGGCTGGGGGAAGATGGGATGAGTGGGGGGATGGGGGAATGGTGGGAGGGCGGAATGAGGACGAGGTGGGATGGTGTGGGGGGAATGGGATGAATGATGAGAGGGCGGAATAGTGAGGAGGTGATTGTCTGGGGGGAGATGAGATGAATGGCGGTGGGAGGGTGGAATGGGGAGGAGGTGGGATGGCTGGGGGAGATGAGATGAATGGCGGTGGGAGGGCGGAATGGGGAGGAGGTGGGATGGCTGGGGGAGATGAGATGAATGGCGGTGGGAGGGCGGAATGGGGAGGAGGTGGGATGGCTGGGGGAGCTGAGATGAATGGCGGTGGGAGGGCGGAATGGGGAGGAGGTGGGATGGCTGGGGGAGATGAGATGAATGGCGGTGGGAGGGCGGAATGGGGAGGAGGTGGAATGGGCTAGGCACAAATGGCATGAATGTGGTGGGAGGGCGTCACAGGGGAATGGATCAGATGGGGGAGATGGTATACGGGCGGAGAGAGATGAATGTGACGGGCGGGTGGGATGGGACGCATGTGGTAAGAGGGAATGGTACGAGCGAGGAAAGGGATTAATGTTTTGGGCGGAGGGGATGGATGCATATTGTAGGATGGGATGGGATGAATGTTGTAGGAGGGGATGGTGGGAAGAAGGAATAGGGGTGATGGGCGGAGGGGGTGCGATGACCGTGGGATGGATGAAAGAGGCGGTTTTTAGATATCGCGATGGGGAGTGGGGTGAACGGCGGAAAGGCGAACTTGGATGGCGCACAGGCGACGCGGTAGGATGCCGGAACGGGGAGGAAAAGGGATTGAGGAAAGGCGAGGAGGTACAGACGCGGATCGGTGAGGAGATGGGATGGCGCACACGTGAAGAGGAGGAACAGCGCCAGAGCGACGGGATGAGAGGCACCAAGGCGACGGGATGAGAGGCGCCAAGGCGAAGAGGTGGAATGGCGGTATAGGAGACTCCCTGGCGCAACACGGAGGAAACGAGATGTCGGAGAAGCGAGACGTGGACGGCGTCACGGCGCATAATGGGAGGAGGCGGAATGGCGGGCCGGGGACGAGGTGGTAACGCGGATCAGGCGATGACATGGGATGGCGCGATGGCGACGAGGTGAGATGGCTAGATTGGGAGGAAACGGGGTGGAGGAAGTGAGGAGGTGGAATGACGGACCGGTACGAGCTGGAAATGAGGATCGGGCAGGAAGTGAGTTGGCGGAACGGGTTGGAAGAGAGATGGCGGAACGAGGAGGTGGTAGATAAACCTAAGAAAGAGAGGTCGAGGTCGAAGGAAATATGTGATGTGGAGACAAGGAGTGAATTCGAAGTTTCTGGAGAGATTTGACGAGGGGAAGTTTTATGGATCTGAATGAATCCGTGGGGGCGTATGGATGAGGTGTGGTTATTCTTTGCTTCCGGGGCGCTTCAGAAGAGATGCTTCTCCTGGGGAGAAAACCCTCTTGACTAATTTCTTCCAGTACAACAACGCCACGCGACCAGCTCCGAGAATTCATGAACGACGTATGAGGTTGCTTGCGTGGTTCTACTGCCACCTGCGCTGGCAGTCAGAATGCACCTTTCGGTCCTAGACGAATCAGAGATACTCGCCCGGCACTAAAGCCAGGAATGATACATGAAAGTAGAAAAGCTCCAGTGCCGTTTGGCCACGTGTGATTCACCACAGGGACAGAGACCAACTGCACTTCAGTAAGGCCGCATATCAATATACACCATACAAGAGGGTAAGTAATTCTGCTAATGGATGGTAGTGCATCTCTTCCCATATGGCAAATACATACTAGCTGGACTCTCTGCATAAGAAACCCTATTTTAACTTGTGTAATTGCGGGAACCGGTCTCGAGTTGAAGAATCACCACATCTATTGCCAAGGTTATAATTCGGTGACCCGCCAACACAGCTCGTGGGAGACTGCAGCACGCCGCATGTTGGTGGCCTGCCAACATGTGTCACAGAGCGGTCTGGCAGCGTTGCATCAACATGGTCGACCACGCTCCAGCAGAGCAAAGCCGCGGCCCGCCAACGCTGCCAGTCGACGGCGTGCCAGCACTGCAGCAAGTCGGCTGCACAGCGTTGCACCCGCAGGACAGCAGCGCACCGGCTTCGCAGGTGCTCGCGAATGATTGGCGTGCTGCGCCTCGTCACCTGCACAGCGCAGGCACCAGATCGTCCTCGTAACTGACGACTATACCTGATCAGCCGCGTCGACCTCGGGATACCACCACCAAGGTCGGCCTCTCCAAAACCACCTGGGCGACCATCGCGCTCCTCCGCAGACTTCGTCGCTCTGGTTACTTGGTCGACCTGGAAACCACCAGGCCAGCGTCGACTTGCTCGGGGAAAGTCGACCGAAAGTTGTACGTGCACCTCGACCATCCAAGTCGGCGACCACCACCCGACTTCACCAAGCCGGCCACTCAGCAAGCCGGCACCACGAAGTCGGCGCCTCCAAAGGTCGACCTCGCCAGGTCGACCACCCGAACTCGGCGCCAAACTTGTCCCGCCAAACTACAGGATGCAGCGTACAGCAAACGTACTGAATAATCACCAGAAACCTAAACCCTAAACATACGAACGGACGTCGAAATAACATCACGTGTCGCACGGGCCTATCCTTGCAGATTCTTCCCTGCTCGCTTGTTTGAAGGAGTATATATCCATACCAGATGCGACGAATAGCACCAAACTTGTCAGTTATGCTTGCAATATACTAAATGTTGTGAACGATTAATTGGAACCTTGTTTTAAAAATCGAGGTGACGTTCGAAAGGTACCACGCGTCGCATAGGCCTATCCTTGCACAAGTTTCCCTGCCAAATCGTCTGAAATAGCATACCTTCCTACCATATGCGTCGAATCGCACCAAACTTGTCCTGCGTGCCTGTCATATTTTAAATGCAGTGAATGATTCAACAAAATCATGCCTAAATAATCAATCGGACGTCGAGACGGCAGCACGTGAGGCACACGCCTATCCTTGTATAGTTTTCCCTGCTCAATCGTCTGTGTGAAAGATAGAAAACGAGAATGGATGAACTAGCAAGCAGGTGGGTACAAGTAGGAAACCTAGAAGTGTTGTACTCCATATGAACGACCCCACTACAGCCTACACAGACTATAGCATATAAGCTTGACACACCCCCATAAGCAAAGTGGGGGAGAACAAGAGGTCACAAGACCAGTCAAGAAAGGCAAAGCAAGCTCAGGGTGGATCACGACGTCACCACGCATTCTGAGCACAAGAAAATGGCCACAAGGCCAGTTCACATGCAGAGTTATATAAAGGAGAACAAGCAATACAGTGATCACAACCTAGCAAGTGTAAGCATGCAGGTATATGTATAGAGATCACAGTACAAGCAAAGTCAAGAAGTAAGCAAGTGAGGCCCAGTGGGCATAAGGCCTAGAACAGTACAGAAACGCTGATGATCACAAGGGTGAAGTGTCTTGGTGAAGACATCAGCAGTGTTGGCCCGAGTGGCCACGTAAGCAAGACGAAGCTGACCACGCTGCTGCAACTCTCGAGCAAGGAAGTAGCGCAGAGCGATGTGCTTCGTCCTGTGCTCCAGTCTGTGCTCCTGACACAAGGCAATCATGGCCTTGTTGTCGACGTACAGCACTGGAGGAGAACGAGGCGGCTCTCCCAGGTTGGTCAGCAGGTAGGTGAGCCAACGTAACTCCTGTGCAGCCATGGCCCCTGCGTAGATCTCAGCCTCACAGCTGGAGCTAAGAACAGAAGACGAGCGGGTAGACCGCCAAGAAACAGAGCCGGATCCAAGGCTGAAGGTGTAACCCTGTGACGACCGCTGCGTAGCCAAGTCGTCAGCCCAAGAAGCGTCTGCGTGACCAGTGAGGACAACTCGAGCCCATCCTCCAAGCACGAGCCCCATGCCCGACGTACTGCACAAGTAGCGCAACACCCTCTTAGCGGCATCCATGTGCTCCTTCCGGTGTCTCCCAGGAGCGACATAGCGTGCCAGAATGCTAAGAGGGTAGGCAAGGTCAGGTCGAGTGCAGGTCATCAGGTACATGAGGCAGCCCACAAGCTCTGGGTACGGACCACTCGGCTCTACGGACTCGTCCGAAGGTGGAGCTGAGAGCGAGTGGCGAGTAGGCAGAGGAGTGTGCTGTGGCGAGGAGTACGTGAAGCCGAAGCGCTGAAGGACCTACTGCACCATGTGTGACTGAGTCAAGGTAATGGTGCGCTGTGCTCTGTCCCGGGTGATCCGCAAGCCAAGATAGCTGCTCAGCTCACCCAGGTCTGTGCATGTGTGTCTCTTCTGCAGCTCCGACTTCACGTGGGCGAGTCCCTCAGTGTCAGCAGTAGCAAAGACCAGGTCGTCGACGTACACGAGAACGTAGAACGGCGGCAGAGAGGTGTTGGTGCGTAGAAACAGCGACGGGTCAGCAGTGGAAGGAGCAAACCCAAGAGCCGCAAGAGTCATCCTCAGTGTGTCATGCCACTCACGGGGCGCCTGGCGGAGACCGTAGACTGGCCGCCGGAGGCTCCACTGGGTATCTTCGGGGTAGGGGAGAAGGTCTGGAAGAAGTCAACTCCCTCTCGCTGACTGAAGCCTCGTGCAACGTAACGCGCCTTGAAGACAGGCGGAGAACCTGGCGACCACTTCACCCTGAAAATCCACATGCCACTGACGATGTTCGCCCCAGGCGGGGGAACCTCGTCGACGTAGGTGCCTGTGGACTTCCAGGAAGCCATCTCTGCGTCCATGGCTGTCTGCCACTGAGAGGAGTAGGGACCCTCTATCGCCTCTGCGTAAGAGCGCGGGGTCGGGATGTCTGGTGCATCCGGGTCTCCCTCAGGTGCAAGCAGCATGGACACGAGATGAGGTAAAGCAGCGGCAAAGCACTCAAACTCATCCTGTCTGTCCTCAAGGACGTCCGTGCCAAGAGCACACTCACCCCCGACGGACGGAGGACAGACAGACTCAGACTCAGACTCAGCAACAAGACTAGCGGCGTAGTCTAGACGACAGGCGGCAGCAAAGTCAACAAGCTCAGCAACTAGAGCAGACGCAGTAGTGGACTCAAACGAAGGGTCAGTGACAACAGTGGCCAGGAGACGCGTGACAGTAGGACTAGCAGCACGAAGGGAGTCAGACTCCGGGTCCGGACCGTCAGGAAGAGAGGACGCAGGAGGAGACGGCAGAGGGACACACTGTGGAGCAGTGGAAGGACGAAGTGCCATCAGGTGTGTGCCGGGGACAGCAGGAGGACGCGGACGCGGAACACGACGACCAGTGCGGACAGCGCGAACAGGCGACGCAGGACGAGACTCAGGCGATACAGGACGAGACTCAGGCAACCCAGGACGAGACTCTGGCGATGCAGGACGAGACTCAGGCTCACAACGCTCCGTAAGACCTCTTGTCGGCCCAGAGTAAGGAGAAGGACCAGGCAGTGGAGAGGCTGGCTGTAACTGCAACTGCGACTGGTCAGGCGGTGGACTCAGTAAGGGAGGAGTAGGACCAGTAGAAGGCGGGAGGCCAAGAACCTGCTGAAGGAGCGGAACGTAGTATGGCCGCGGCCGCGCAGCGCCTCCAGAAACAGCAGAGACAGCACCAGTACCCCCAGCTCCTGGGTCTCCAGCTCCAACTCCCGCTGTACCACCAGCTCCAGCACCTCCAGCAGCTCCAGCTCCAGCAGCACCTCCAGCAGCAACAGCTCCAGCGCCTCCAGCTCCAACTCCTGCAGCACCACCAGCCCCAGCAGCTCCAGTACCTCCAGTACGAGCACCTCCGGCAGCCCCAGTACCAGCAAGACCTCCAGCAGCTTCAGCTCCAGCAGCACCTCCAGCTCCAGCAGCTCCAGTACCTCCAGTACGAGCACCTCCGGGACCAGCGGCTCCAGCACCTCCAGCAGCAGCAGCAGCACCACCAGCTCCAGCAGCTCCAGTACCACCAGTACGAGCACCTCCGGGACTAGCAGCTCCAGCACCCCGAGCAGCAGCAGCACCACCAGGTCCAGCAGCGCCAGCGTCACCAGCACGAGCACCCGCGGGGCCAGCAGTGCCAATACCAGCAGCTCCAGGGCCTCCAGCTCCAGCAGCGCCACT